TTACCCCTGGACTGGCCTCATCCCCAGCAGGCTGGGACAGATCTCCCAGTGCATATTCCCCTCCTGGGGAGGTCGAGCCGGCGGGGGAACGAACCATCACACCCGTCAGTCGTCGCGGAGGATTCTTAATGGCCTGACGAGCTGGAAGAGAATAGAAACTAAAGTGAGATTCCAGGACTCCGTCTTGGACAGTCCCTGAGAGTTGCCTCTGACTTTATCCTGAAGAATCTTAAGAAAACAGTTTATGTTGTAGGAATTTCTTGCACCACACTAGGCTCAGTTCCCAAATAATACCAGCTTTGGGTAATGCACCTCTATTTCAGTTTTCTTTAGCAGCTAGGTATTCACTACCTCCCACCACTGACAGGTTAATTGAATTAACTGCCCCAAGAGTTATAAAGGAATTAAACATTCAGAATAAATGTCTCTCATCTTCAGACACCAGTGAAACTATAAGGAAGACTAAAGGGGTGCAAAGCCTGACATTCTAACACAGAGTTCCTTGCTAATCCTGATTCCTCTTAGATACACCTTTCCTACAGATTTTGTTCCTTTCTCAGAAGCCTCTGCATTTTGCCCTGTTACAAATATAGTGCTGGAAAGAGAATACAACCTTTCTCTCCAACTTTAGGGTCAAGGAATTCCTACTGCAGGTCTTAATAAGATCTAAGTATTTCCCAGATGTTCTTATGAATATACACATCTCTCCAAGGAAAAGGAAGGCAGCTCATCTCCAGCTTACCTTGATAAGCAGCATCTGTAGCCTTCCTCTTGACTTCTGCCTCCTCCTCCTCCATTTTTTTCTTTCTGTATACAGAATCAAAACCTGTTAGACAGTGTCTCAATTCCTTCTTCACAATCAGTTTACTGACCCCCCATCCCATTATCTTGGGACAACAATGAACTGACCCTGCGGATTTGGGCTCAGTTTCCCTGAGGAGGGAAGCAGAGCCAGAGAATGACACACTAGGCAGGAAATTTCACTTGCAGCTGATTATCAAAATGGAGCAGCAAGCATGATGCTGCAAACCATCACCAAGCTCTTTACTGAGCAACTCCAGACGATGTTCCACACAAGCTGGTATCCCCTGAGCTAAGCTAAGTCCCCTCTCAGAGGCCAAAGCATCTGCCCGGCTGCTGCATTTCTCTTCACCCAAAGTACACAAAACAAGAGATGCCTGACAAGAGTGTCAGGGAACTACAATTTCAGAAGAAAGCACAACACGGAAATAATTAAATAACCCACATCATAATCTCATTGCACAGCTCCTCCAGTCTGTTATCCATGTGTCCAGCCTGGATCAGCTCTGCATCCTTCTTCAGCTGCCTGTAATCAGAAAACCCTCTTACTTACTGAACAGGAAACCCAAAGCAGCACTTTCACCCCAATCACCATCCCACTTTGACAATCTTTTCAGGACAAGGCTCTCAGATGTGCCACAGCTTAACATCTCTGCCACGTACCTGTATTTTTCCTGTGTTTCTTTAATAATTTTCTTCAATTCCTCAACCCTTTCTGCAGTCAGTTTCCGCACAATAACATCTTCCACAGTTTCCACAACTTCTCCCTTCTCACCACGTTTTCTCCTATAAACAGAAAAAAAAAAGTTATATACAAAACTCAGAAAACTCAGTTCTCATTTCATAAATGGCTGCTGTCTGTCACTCCTGACACATTCATGCACAAAAAAAAAAAAAAAAAATCAGCTTCCTCCAATTCCCTGAAATGGTCTGGGACAGCACAATCTCTTCTGAAATTTTTAACTAGTGCACCTAGTGCTAAAGATTTCAAGAACAGATCGAAGACGCAAGTCCACAAAAAAATTCTCAACCTGAAAAAAACCAATCATTCCACTTCAGAGAAGATTCTTCTCTACTCATGAAGAAACATCTATTTTTTTTCTGACTAACTCTACTAAAGTCATTTCACCTCCAGTGCTGAAGATCATTCAGCACTACTACAAACAAATACTACTTTGAGACATCCCACCTTTAAGTTAATTTGATGTGAAGTCCCCAAACAAAATGCCTGGAATTAAGAGCAATAAATATCTGAGACCACAAAGCTGTAGTGAAACCATTGAGAAAAAAGCTGTAAAAAAACACTGCAAAGTAGGGACAAATACAGAACCCCTTCTTGCTCCTACTGTCTTTTCTACGTCTACTCTAAATTATAAACTTATGTGTAAAGCTTCTGATCAGTAAGACTAACATGTAGTGTTTTATTCCAGACAAACAAATGTTACCTTCCCCATCTGCCACACCCTGATCCCACTGTCCACCCACAAAAGCTATCACAGCTGAATTTTCTTATTCCTGAATGCTCCTTTAGGGAGGAGCTGGCTGGGGAAGAAAGGAAGTTAACAGTAACAAGGACTTTGCTGTAAGAACCGATGAGTCCCTCCAGATTGCTGCAGACTGTGCTTGGGTCAGACTTTGTACTCACTTGGGGGTCTCCGTGGTCTCCAAGAGCTCTGAATACTGAGATGCACAGTGCTGAGAAGAGACAAAGGAAGTCAGAGGACACTAAAGAGTCAGCTTGAGCTAACACCTATCAACAAAGCCCACAGGGCACTCACTCCCACTTCTTCAGAGGCCCAAGGTTTTATGAACAAATCTCACAGTTTTCTCCAGAGTTTCCCTCAAGGCTATAATTTAGTGTAGCTCACAGTGAGGAAGCAAAAACAAAGCTAAAGAACAGATGCTCCCAACTAACAATACAGAAATCAAAGCAAACAAAAGCTGCAGCTGTAATGTTTCCATCTGTGAACACGAACCAAAATATTTAATCGAAGAAGACAAAATAACATTACATCAAGGCCAGTTCCAAAGCTCAACAGACACAGTAAGCAACATAACAACCCCAACTGTCCCTTACAGGACAAAAGTCCCAGGTGCTGGCTCAAACAGCAGGACACACCAAAATACACGGGCATCCACAAATTCCTAGGGCAAGGAATTCCACACCTTAAATCACATGCCCGGTGAAGAATCTCTTTAGTCAGACTTACTTATTAATTGTTTACTGGACAAAGCATGGAACAATTAATCCTTATTCATCCTCAACATGGCACTTCTGATTATGCAGAGATCTGGTATATTCCTGTTACTCATCTTTTCATGTTAAGGGTTCTACCTTACTTAGCCATCCATCACAAGGAAAGCTCTTTCATATCTTTGATCATCCATGTCTTTTTCTTAACTTTATCCAACTGGACTGTGAGCTCAAGTTTAATTTCAGAAACAGAAAAACAGTATTTGATTTAAATAAAATTTTTTTTTCAAAATTCATTTTGCCACGTGTTTTTAAAACAAAAAATACATTCTCTTAGGCTTTATATAACCCTTTGCAGAACTCATTTTTTCCCAAGATTCAAATATGAGTATCTTACCTTTTGGGAAAACCAGTCAGGTGGACGCCCTGGCTCTGCAAAAGGCTTGATGGCTCTGCTGACTGAGACCCTGCAGGAGGGAAATGGCAAGTCACCATCACTTTCTTCCCCAACTACCATTCAGAGAAAAATTGACAAGCTGTCTCGACATCATTGAATAACCCCCTAAACATGATAAACTCACCAAGGAGCTGCTATGTTTGGGAATTACTACAGTATAAAGTACAAGACTTGAAAATATTTGCCTGCTCCTAATAAAAAATACCTTTGCTCCTTTGCTTTGAAAAATCAAGTTTCTAGATTCTGATTACGTGACTATACTTCCACAAACATCTTACTTTTGTAAAGCGGAAAAAGGCAGTAAAACAGAGCTACAGGTTCAGTGCACAGGAATCTGCTACCAAGTATCCTTCTTGACCGCAACTCACCTCATCCAATTTATTAACACAGAATCAGAGAATCACCTAATGGTGTGGGACCATTAAGGGACCTAAAAGATCATTTCATTCCAACCCTCTGCTGTGGGCAGGGACACCTTCCACTATCCCAGGTTGCTCCAAGCCCTGTCCAACCTGGCCTTGAACACTTCCAGGGATGGGGCAGCCACAGCTTCTCTGGGCAACCTGTGCCAGGGCCTCACCACCCTCACACGGAAGAATGCCTCCCTAATCTCCAATCGAACCTCTGTTGGTTTGAAGCCATTCCCCCTTATCCTGTCACTCCATGTCCTAGTCCAAAGTCTCTCTCCAGCTCTCATCACTCTTTATTTTAACACACCTCTGCTTTCACACAGTAGTTATGAAGGCAGCAAAAAGCCTGTCCAGGTACATCTCTAACACCTTTGACACCCCATCTTTGTTCTGAACAGAGGCGGGAGGGGACAGCCCCGCGCTTTGCCCCGGGTACCCGGTGCCTCGCACACGCTCAGGTTCCCCGCTCTGTGCTCCCGTACCAATTCTGGTCGCCGCTGCGCATGACGGAGGAGGCCAGACAGAGCTTCTCGCGGATGGACCAGGGCTCGGTGGGGCCGGCACTCAGCAGCTTGTGCTCTGCGGGACAGGGCAGGAGTGTGCGGGGGCAGCACCCGGAACACCGGGACGGGACCCCGGGACAACCACCACTGGCCCCGCCCCTCCCGGATGGCTGGCCCCGCCCCTCCACCCGAAGCCCCGCCCCTCCCCCGAACCACTGTGCCCGCCCCCCGTGCACCGTTTGCCCCTACCCGGAAGGGCCCTTGGCAACCGCTCCGTTCTTCTCGGGCCCTTCCCCTACTCCCCTCCTCGCCACAGCCCCGTCGCCGCTCGCTCCCCGTCGCCGCTCCCGCCCGTCCCCGCACTCACTACCAGTCCCCGCCGCCATCTTCCCCGCCCGGCCCCGAGCAAGGCGGGGCGGAGCCGTGCGCAAAGCCCGCCGGGAAGTGCGCGAGCGCCACTCCCCCTCCCGCTCCCCCGCCCCGTCCAGCGGCCAGTTGGTTGGGCTCCGCCCCCGCTGCCCAGCAGCGGTCGCTGATTGGCCGTAGCGCGCGCGCGCCGTGTCCCCATTGGCGGAGCGGGCGGGCGGCGAGGTTTGAAATCCCGACAGTCGGCGCGGGGCGCACGCGAGGGGCGGTGGGGCCGGAGCTGCGTGAGAGGCGGCCGGCGGCGGCTGCGGGTTCGTTTGCGTGCCAAGAAGCCCCGTGCGGCAGGCTATACCTGTACGGACAGGCCCTGCGTGGTGCTCTCTGCTGTGTGCGTTGTGGGGGGCGGCCCGTGCGGAGCTGAGTGCGAGTTTGTGTTGGGGATCCAGTGTGGCGGTCGGTGTATGCATTAGCTCTGTTTGATGGTGTGTTTTTGGGGGGGTCTCACGTGGTGGTCTGTGTGTGTTTGGGGTCCCGGGTGATGTTTGTGTGTGCAGGGGGTGTATTTGGGGTCCCGGGTGGTGTTTGTGTGTGCAAGAGGTGTGTTTGGGGTCCTGGGAGGTGGTGAGGGTTGTGCAGGTTTGCGGCAGCATCCTGTGTGTCTGCGTGTAGGGAGGGTTCCATGGAGCAGTCTGTGTTAGTGGGGATTGATGCATGTGGTAGTGGGGTGCATCTGTGGGGAGCAAAGCTTGAGCTGCTGTAACATCACCTTGTCCTGTGCCCCTTTTTCCCCAGGAGCTGTGTGAGACGTCATGGCAGAAGCACTTACCTCCCCAGGGCTGTTCTCTGACGATGAAGTTGCAGCTTCCCCTGTGCTTGAGTCCACAGCAACTGGGTTTGGGGCTGATTTGCGCAAAGACCTGCTGTCAGAGTTCTCTGCCATCTCCCCAAACCTGGAGAGCTCCCAGGTGAGGTTGGAGCTCTTCTGTCACAAACAGGGCAGTGTTTTCACTCGTGGCTGCTGGTCTGTACAAAGCTGATGTGATGCAGGAGCAACAGAGACTCTTCAAAAGAGGCTGGAACAAATTGTTGCGTTGTGAGGAGCAGTTCCTCTTAGGAGCAGTGGACTGTGAAGGGCACAGTCAGCGAACACCTCGTAACAGTTGGGAGTCTCTTGGGGCGGTGCTTGGTCTGGGGGCTGGTTTTGGTGTCAGGTCTTAGGGTTGCTGGTCTGATTCATTAGATAAACAAAGAAGAATGCTGGTGTGCTTGGAAATGCCTAAGAAAGCTTCTGGCATTGCTGGTGGTTTTGGGACCAGAGAAGTTCCTGAGCACTGACTGGGGTAGCCAATATGTGTGTTTTGTGCTGTGGTCCCTGTTACCTGTTCTGATGGGTGGTTGTGTGCTGCCTCTCTGGCTGCCATGTTTAACCTGTGCTGATTTTTGCAGGCTGTAGCTGAAGACAATAATGGCAAATTAAAGGTCTATCTAAGAGTTCGACCTCTGAAATCTACAGAAGTGGAAAAAGGGGAAGACCAGGTGAGATACCAAATGAAGCAGGTTTTGAGCTGGCTGTGTGCCTGCTGGGAGAGGCTGTTGTCCTTTACTGTCTATGCTGTGACCACTGCAATAATGGGTTTTATATGTTCTTTAGGGCTGTGTCTGCATTGAGAACTCAGAGACCCTTCTTCTAAAAGCTCCTAAGAACTCCTTTACCATGCGGTGCATGGAACGTGGAGTGGGACAAGCATTGCATAGGTTCTCTTTCACTCGGGTAGGTAACTGGGACAAACCATCCATCTGGAAGTTTTCTGAGCTTAAACCAGCCTTACCAGCTTGAAAAGGTGGCTTATTCATACTCACTGATCTCAAGGCGCACTGCCTGAGCTCTGCAGTCTCGTACAATCCTCTCTACGTCAGTTTTTCTGTTGCTGTTTTCTTAGTTTTTCTCTTTTTAAGCTACTCCTGACAGCTTTTTTTGGCAGCAAATGCCAAACTCTTGTTTTGTTCATGAGCCTGTAAACAGACTAAAGGCTGCAGTGATATCAAATGTTACTGGATTAAGCAAAGGAACAGCCTGTTTTTGTAAGGGGCTCAGCTGGAATTGCTGGTGGGTTGGTTGCTCATGGCTAGTGGAGGGAAAAAGGACTGTGTAATATCACTTGAGCAAACATCAGCAGTCAAAGGACAGGAAAGATCTACATGAGGCCGTTTTTTGTGTCTTGTTTGCAGATCTTTGGACCAGACGTGGGGCAGAAATTGTTCTTTGATGAGACAATGAAACAGGTGATAAAGGATGTATTGAATGGGCAGAACTGTCTGGTTTATACCTATGGCATCACCAATTCAGGGAAGACTCACACGATTCAGGGTAAGGAGAGCACTAGGTGTTAGGAGCCTGTTGAGGGATTGTCTGCTGCTACATGTGAATCCTCAGCTTGCTGCTGTTCTTGCCTCAGGCACCAACCAAGATGGGGGGATTCTGCCTCGCTCTTTGGCAACCATCTTCAACAGTGTGGGGGACCAGCTGTACCAAGCCATGGACCTGAAGCCTTCCCTCTCCAACGAGGTGATCTGGCTGGACAGCAGGCAGGTGAAGCAGGAAGAGACCAAGAAGCAGATGATGCTGCAGGGAGGTCTCTGGGAGGTAAGCATGGGGCTTCTGGGAGGCTTGATAGCAAAAGGAGAGGGATGGTGTCATGCCACCTATGTGCTCGTGTTCTTGGTTTCCTTCAAGGAGGAGCTGTTAACGCCACTGAAGAGGAGTTGCAGTGCTGAATCTCAGCTCCAGGCCACCACCAGTGGCAGTTTTGACAGTGGAGTTGCTGGCCTCTCTTCATCCAGCCAACTCACCAGCCGTTCAGACGTCAGCCAGACTGAAGGTATGTCTGGAAGCCTGTTGTGTTCTACCTGCTTTTTGTTGCTTGTGATGGAAGAAAGGGTGATGGCTGTTTGGATGCTGTGTGGTAGGTAAGGGAGTAAAGGTGCTGTAGTCTCACAAATATTCTCCTTGAAAAATATGGATGTCAAGGCAAGAAGAACTTTGTGCATATATTTTGCCAATATCAGAAGAATTCACTGCTGCTTGGTAACCAAGCCACGTGAAATGAAAAGTTACTTGCCACTCACTCACTCACTTCATTCAAGGAATGTGGTTATTGAGCAGCTCATTGCTGGGAAGCAGGGTGCTAAAGTGACATGCTGCACTGAACACTTGTGCCCAGACTTTCAAACCCAGGAACTACCAGATGATTAGGTACCTAGGAGCATGAAGTGATTGAGGTAACAAGGACTAAAACTTAACTTATGCTGGAAGGAGTTCATGTTTGAAATATCCTGTAATTCTGGAGTCAAAATCAGGTAAATAAAAAGTCCTTACACAGAATAGAGGATACTGTTAAAGGAAACTTGAGGCTGTCTCAGTGGGGACAGGCATTAGAGTATATACAAATGGGAAGAGGTATATAGAATAATTTGATTCTGGGGTGGTTTTTCCTGCTAAAGAATGTATCTCACTCTACAGCTAAACCATTCCAGTTGCACATATGAAAAGCTGCAGTCAAGATTTATTTTCCTTCTTTTTTTTTCCCCCAGAACTGGGCCCTCTCTGGGCTGATTTGGATCGGATTTCACTCACCAGCACAGGAAATGTGCAGTTCTCCATCTGGGTTTCCTTCTTTGAGATTTACAATGAGTTAATCTATGACTTGTTAGACCCAACTCTCTCTGGACAGAACCGCAAGCGGCAAACACTGCGGCTCTGCGAGGACCAAACTGGCAACCCCTATGTGAAAGGTAGATTTACCTGGAAGGGATCTTTAGTGGCTTTCTAGGAAGACTTTAGGACTGAGTGGGTGGGTGGCTTAGCAGTGACGCACTGGGGAGCCCCACAGAGACCTCTGATATCTGGATTATGGGAATGTCAAGTTTGTTAATGTCAGGGAAAAGCAATGATGAAGTTGGGGTTGAGATAAGTTTTCTGCCAGTCTCCTAAACTGCTGTGCCCAATGTGTGCTTGCTTTTCCAGATCTGAACTGGTTCAATGTCCAGGATGCTAATGAAGCCTGGAAGCTCCTGAAACTGGGTAGGAAAAACCAGAGTTTTGCCAGCACCCACATGAACCAGAACTCCAGTCGCAGGTCTGAAGGGGAACGGGGGCTGTTTAGGCAGAAATGCAATTCTGAGGGGCTTTTGAAGGTTATTCATTGTTTTTAAATATCTACTTGTTTCTATACAGTCACAGTGTTTTCTCCATTCGGATTCTGCACTTGCAAAGAGGTGGCAGTGAAGTTGTTCCAAAAATCAGCGAGTAAGTTTCATGCTCTCTGGGATTTGGGGGTGTTCTCGGTGGATTCAGCTTCCCTGTCTCTTCTGTTGAGGACCTGGAATATGGGAAATATCTTGATAAAGGTCTTGTTGAAAGGAAAGAAGTAAAAATTCCCAACCTTAAGTCTTGGAACTGACAGGAGTTTGAGGAGTACTGCAAAGCACAACTTGAGGTAGTTCTCAGGCTTTTTGAATGAAGGTAAATGTGAGTAACCTACCCTTACAGCAGGAACATGTCTGTTCCTGGGATGTAGCTACCTGGAAATGGGTTGTCTCAGTACCTGGGAAATGGCTGTTTCATGGACTGACAAAGGATCTTTGAACTTGACACCACAAAGCTTGCTATGATGTTACCTTGTGTAACACCTACACTTAGGGTAGGCCCTTCCATCCAGCAACAGCTCAGGCACCCCAAAGGAGTGTTCCATGCCCTTATGAGGAAGCTGGGAAGGTGATTGCAGGGTGTCTGAATTGTAAACCTGGATAGAGCAGGACAAACCCAGCAGGTTGTGTGAATATCGCTGTGTTTCCTTCAGGTTATCCCTGTGTGACCTGGCAGGGTCCGAGCGCTGCAAGGACCAGAAGAGTGGGGACCGAATGAAAGAAGCCAACAACATCAACACCTCCCTGCACACACTGGGCCGCTGCATCGCTGCGCTCCGCCAGAACCAGCAGTCCAGGTGAGCATCCAGAGCTCCAGAGGGAGGGTGTGACTGGGCTGTTTTGCTTTCCCAGCTCACTCCTGTCTCTCCCCACAGGACAAAGCAGATGGTGGTTCCATTCCGGGACAGCAAGTTGACCCGTGTGTTCCAGGGGTTCTTCACTGGGCGCGGGCGCTCCTGCATGATTGTCAACATCAACCAGTGTGCATCCACTTATGATGAGACTCTTTATGTAGCCAAGTTCTCAGCCATTGCCAGCCAGGTGAGTAGCAGACACCAGGATCACAGCATGGCCAGGGTATATCCTGCTTCTGTGGGAATGGGCCCTTTTCCACAAGGAGAGGGGGGCATGCTCACAAGTCTTTCCTACGCTTCTCCAGTGGCTTATTTTACCTCCAGAGTATTTACAGATTCTGGTAAACTAACAGGTTGCAGAGAAGGGCTGTGTTTAAAGATTACACAACTCTCAGGCTTTGCATACAGCAATGATGATCTTTTCCTCTTCAGCTTGTGCAGGCACCTCCCACAAAGCTGGGACTTCCATCCCTACAATCCATCATCAAAGAGCACAGCAGGAGAATCAGCCAGGGGGCAGAGGCAAAGGAAGAAGTGGACTCAGAAGAAGACGAAGACACTGAGGATGAGGCAGATGTCTCCATGTATGAGAAGAAGGTGGGTTGTGATTTGTTTTACAGCCTTTATGGATAGAAGGACAAGAACATGACTGTTAGTTTGGCCTGGGAGGTGGGACTGCAGCTTGGCACCATGCCAAGAGAGGTGACAGAGAACCTCAGAAGGATATAGGACCCAGGAGGTTGGGAATCTATGACACAAATATTTCACAGTTGGTCTAAACCTGACACACATGCTTAATTTGGAAACACTGTCATCTGTGGAATAGTGACAGTAAGAGTGTGGGTGCAGACCTGAAATCTAGAGATCAGAAAACATGCAGAACAGGTGGCTAAATTGAGAAAAAACAATCAAACTTCCTAGATACTCAAAGAAGGCAGCTGGGATAGCTGAAAGATCAAGATGGAAGTCACACACCTACAGAGACTCGAGCTGTCATGTGTCAAGTTAGCGAACCCTGGCAACTTCTCTTTCCAAGCGACTAAAATAATCTTAAATCTGCAGATCACTGCAGCCTGCAGACACAGGATCACTTAGTTAATTCCAGGCTTTAACTCTGTTGTGCAGTGTGGGCAGTGGAGCTGTGTCCTTCTTGCAGGACTTGCTGCGTGCAGCAGAAGCTGCACGAGAACTGCTGGTGCAGGAGCGGCTGAAGAAGCTGCAGCTCGAGATGCGCCTGCGTGAGGAGATCTGCAATGAGATGATGGAGTACATGCAACAGAAGGAGCAGTGGTGGAGGTACAGCCTGTGCTGATCCCCCTCCCTCTGCTCAGGTTGAGCTGCAGCACCCAGAACCACCACACCCTGACATGGAGTTGTTTGTTCTCTTTGTAGCCAACATGTGGATGCTCAGAGGGAGCAGCTGGAGGAACTGTACGAGGAAAAACTGACTATCCTGAAGGAGTTATTGACTGACCATTACCAGGAGAAGATCCAGGTTTGTTCAGGGCAATGAAATAACATCAGGAAAATGGCAGTGGGTTGGGAGGGGACTCAGGGTACTTGAGTCCAGGACAATGTTTATGCAAACTGAAAGATGTTGGTTTCTGAGGTATTTTTTGTGATATTTGATTGCTTGATCCACAATTTTTGCTTCTTGTCTCTTCCTTTACGTAGCTCACTAGGCTTCCTAATTTTCAACACTTAATCTGGAAGCTAATGTGCAACCATCCTGACTCCTCCACGTATTCAACACAATTTTCTCCCCACCCTACTCTTTTCACTAGTGGCTTGCTTTGCACTCTTCAGGTTCACATAAGTTGTGTGAATTTCTCTTCTTGCTCTTAGTTGTGATGTTGGGTATGGGCCTGTCTGTTTTACATGCCATGGCATTTGAGTGGCCTCTGGGGCTTGTTGCAGACCTCTCTGAAGATGCCAACTCTCCAAAAAATCCCTTTTCTTTAGAGGCTGTAAAAAAGTTGTTTAGGCTCCTAGGAAGTGGGTTTACTGTGTTCACTTAATGGACTTTAAAGGCTGGGTTCAATGTGTGAAGTGTGGGATTGACAAAGTCTCCAGGAAGACATAGAAAGTTTCAGAAAAGTTGTGGTAAGAAAATCTTGTTAAATATTTGAACAAACTTCCTTTCTAAGGAGCGTGATGAGGAGATTTTGGAGCTCCAAGCTACTCTGCGGGAGACCAGAGAAAAATTGGAAAGTCTGGATACTAAGGAAAAGGACTCGGAGCAAGGCTTACGTCGATCCAAGCGAGTGGCTACTTCCTCATCTACTGTGCAGAAGGAGCTGGCAGATACCAAAGCCAGACTGGAGCAGTGTCAAAGGGAGTTACATACCACGACTGCAGGTATGGCAGTGATGCTGCGCTGCTTCTGACCTGTGCCTGAGAGATCCTTGTACAGGGTTAGAAAGACTTTCTTCAGGGTACATTGGATTCAGACACCCTGAAACCATTATTCTGAGTTGTAGATAACAGGAATTATGTGCTGGATGGGCAGTGTTTCTCTTCATTTTCACATGAAAATGGACTTTAGGGCAGGATAATCTCCCTGTTCAAATTCCTAAGTCCATTTGTGTAACTGAAAGGGAGAAGCCTGGAATGTCTGTGCAGGTCTGTACAAACTCAAAGCTCTTCTTGGCTTGCCTGTGGCAGCTTGTCTCAAGGCAAGTCCTGAACTTCAGGAATACTGAAAGCTGGCGAATGTCCTGTTGCTCACTACTTTTTGTCTGTTCCTAGAGTTGCACAGGTACCAGAAACTAGTGGAGCCACCTCCCTCTGCCAGACCCATTACTATGGATGTAGACAGGAAGCTGGAGGATGGACAGAAGGTAACTCCAACTCTGTGTTACAGAAAGGAACACTTGCAGGTCAAGGTGGTTGCCAGTATAAACAGTGTTTGGGGCTGCTGTTTCCAGGTTTTTAAATGGATGGTTGAAGTTAAAATGGGCTTGTTGAACTTACTGGAGATGTTGATGGTTGTGGTATCTGTGATCCCAGTGTATCTCACTCAGATGGGATCCTCCCTCAGTGCTGCATGTCTGAATTACCCTGGAGTGGCTTTGTTTGCAGAGCAGTGCCAAACCCACCTGTTTTGAATCTCTCTCCTTCAGAATGTCAGGTTGCTGCGTTCAGAGTTACAAAAAATTGGGGAGTCTCTCCAGTCTGCAGAGCGAGCGTGCTGCCACAGCACAGGAGCAGGGAAGCTCCGAGAAGCCCTCTGCACGTGTGATGACATTCTGGCCAGACAGGTAATGTGTCTGTTTTGTTGGGGGTTGCACAGAGGGGGGTGTTTAGTCTTTGTGCTTTGCCCATAATTAGAGTAACCTCAGTTCTACACTGCAAATAAAAATGACTTATTTGCTAGTGCACACTATTACATGAAGGGAACTAGATTGCTGATTTTTCAAGGAGACCCAAATCGTTCCTGTTAACTGCCAGCCTGTACTTAAAGTAGGACAATTGGGAGTTCTCATTTCCTTATCCACTCGATCACAGTTGCTATGGCAGCATATTTGCAGCAGAATGGAGTCAGTTTTGTCCCAGCCCTACCGTTCCTATTTGTTATTGAACTTTTTACTGTTGACAGTAGAAACTTTGAAGCATGGCCTTATTTAGTAGAACAGCGAGTGAATTTTGGCAAAAGGCAGTTTATCCTCCTCAGTTCACAGTAACCAGGGAGTTCGACAACTTGTCATAGTACCTGAAGGGAGCCTACAAGGAAGATGGAGAGGGACTTTTTACAAGTGCATGGAGTGGCAGGACAAGGGGGAATGGCTTCAAACTGACAGAGAGTAGGTTTAGATCAGATATTAGGAAAAAATTCTTTACCTGTGAGGGTGTTGAGGCCCTGGCACAGGTTGCCCAGAGAAGTTGTGGATGCTCCACAGCTGGAAGTGTTTAAGGCCAGGTTGGATGGGGTTTGTAGCAACCTGATCCAGTAAAAGATGTCCCTGTCCACAGCAGAAGAGTTGGAATGAGATGATCTTTAAGATCCCTACCAACCTAGATCTTTCTATGATTCTATGATATCTATATTTTTTATATAAATATATATATATTGCCTTCCCTTCATCAGGACCAAACCCTGGCAGAACTGCAGAACAACATGATGCTGGTCAAGCTGGACCTGCGCAAGAAGGCGGCCTGCATTGCTGAGCAGTACCACACGGTGCAGAAGCTCCAGGCTCCTCCAACATCCACCCTCAAGAAACGCTTCTGTGCCAACAGGGAAAATGTACAACCTAATCAGCCCCCTGGTAAAAAGCCCTTCCTGCACAACCTCCTGACGCGTTCGGCCACCCGTCCTGTTGCTGCCAGAGGGTGGCAACTTCGTTCAGTCGCTCTATGACTTTTCAGAAAGAGATTCCTGCCCTGCTGTTACTGGAACAGGTGGCAAATCCAATATAATGGCATCTGGTTTTCATTGTGCGCTTGTTTATTGTTATTGTAGCTGCTTGAGAGCTTATGTAAACATTTCTGGGTACGTATCGATAAACTTTTAATCAATACCAAAGTGGACAAAGTGACCTTTTGTAATTTAAACACTACAGTGAGGAAAGTCCTTAACTATATAACGCAGATGATCAAACTTGTTTAACAAATGGACAAGTTCAAGGTGAGTTGTCATCTTCAACTATGTTGGCACACAATTCAAAAATAAGTTCACAAGTTCCTCCTTGAAAGATATTTTGCCTTCCTTGAATTATAATCCTTTATTAAAGTATACACGTTCTAGGCCAGGGCTGTTCTCTCGGATCTGGGCTTGCAATGCTGGCTCCAAGCGTGATACCGCCATAGAACTGAGCAAAAGAAACAGGAAAATGGTTACATAAAGCAAGCACTTGAGTGTAAAATAAGATGGATGATGCATCTGGTTAAACTTCCTGGACTGTGAAAGAGTTTTCACATCTTTTTAAATGTCTTATAAGGGAAGCAAACTAGATCAGGGACAAATGAATCCCTGCTCAAATGGCAGTAAGACAGTCTAAGGAGTCAGGAAATGGTGTTGGGATCCACTCACTTGTAGCTGGCAAGAGAAACTTACTTACCTTCCTAAAGGTGTTTTTATTAAATATAATGTATTTGCCTATTTAACTTACCACCTGATTTATTCAGTTCAATAAAAGGTTTACTTTTATGAGAACCAGTTCACAGTAAAGTGAATTAAGCTGCCAGGTCATTTGAATAGCTGCAATTTCCTGAACACAGTTCAAGGTCTTCCTCTGAACTGAAGAGCCCTGGCTAAAATCAAGACCTGTACCACGTGTGCCAGGCTGGTTTGTCAAGTCATCTCCAGGTAGCCTAGTGACACTTGTTTACCACAGCTCTCTGTCCTAGGCCAAGCAGGGAAACAGATGGTGTCAGATGGATCTGTTGTACTCGAACAATTGCTTCTGATGAGAATTGGGTATTGTTTTCTGGAAGTCAAAGCTACCTTAGTTGTTCAGTACTTTTTTAATGGATTCAGCTCCAGCTTGGATTGTTTAAGCTACATCTGGCAGTCTGTTTAGACAACTGTTATCAATATGAGGGACAGCTCAGCTGAATTTAAGGCCCTGTCCATACTACCTACCAAATTGAGCTAAGTTAATTTGTAAATAACTCATTCAGGCTTCATGATTATTTCAGCTAGAAACAATTTTCACTATAAGACAGTTTTCAGTACTGAGCTATTTTTGTATTGATGAAAAAGTCTTTCTTAAGAAATATTAATAAAATTACAAATAAGCACAGATAGTCCAATGCTGTTCTGTATAACTAGAAGAGTTTCCAGCTGAAAATAAAATGGGCTACTTACTGTATTTAATGCATCCGTAACCTTCCTGGACATGAATATATTGTATAAATCTCATCTTGAGCTGCTAGGGGTTTGTAAACAACTATTATATATTACTGATGAGTAACATAGGTATTACTTTTCTGTATATTCTCTTGTTTATCACCTTTGTTATATGGGAAATAAAACTGTGTCCCTGACCAGGCAATGCCTGACCCTTTGCTTCTGTCTGTGCACGGATCTGGAGTGTAACATTAAAGTGAAAATAATAACAGCAATACCCACCTTTTCTGAGGAAACAGTGCACAACACAGGGGAGTTGCAAACACGAGACTAGAGGAGACAAAAATGGGATTACAATATTTAGGGTGCTAAAAGAGAATTCAAAAACCTTATGCATGATTAGGTAAAAAGTTTTCCAGTTTGGTTTTTTTTTGTACACAGTGAGGTAACATTCCACAAAGTGCTATGTTTACTTCTCTCTGCATTGTACCTTATTTAATAATTCACTAATTACACAGTACTAAATCTATCAATACCATGCTTCCAAATGTGTCTAAAAGTATCATTTGATGTCCTTACAGTGTTTTACATTAGTGTGCAGGACACCAGATAGTGCTAGACACAGCAAATTAAACTCTCTATTAACCAAATCTTTCAAGAATTCATCAGCCTTCAGGATTAGATTCCACTGACTTTATGGAGGTAGCAGCCAAAGCACCTTTTCTAATCAAGCTGCCACATGCCTTTTTTTGCCACTCCTTTCCCCCCTCCCTCTGCTTTTCTTGGCAGCTTCTTCCTTTCTAATGGCTTTTTTGTTTTTAACATGGTATTATCAGTTACAGAGATGGAAGTGAAGTAACTGCTGCAGCCTCATTAACCCTCTCAACCTTTTTTTCTTTGAACAAAGTGCAAATATTGCTACTCTCTCAAAACACCTACAAGTATCTCTTAAAATAGCAGACCCAACCCAAAAAAATCACTTACCAGACTCCAACTAATCCAACTTGAATGGGAGCACTCAACCAAGGATATCTCTGTTGAAAACAAACCATACACAGTGAGTATGGTATCTTATCTTCTCCCTTCCCCCTTTCTGGAATTCTTGTTTTCTAAGAGACAGATTTTGCACCTAAAAGACCCTTGGACATGAAGGCAAACCCACAGGCAGTGTACCTTAAAGCTGAGCTCCAGTTTGAGAGCCAAATCCCTTTTGAAAAGTAGTAAGGAAATTCCCAGTGGAAACAACATACATTGTGATCCTGATTGATTTAGGATGTGATGCTGAGCCCCTGGGCCTTCTCTCTGAGTCATACAAGCCCACAGTAGCAGGACAGCTGAAATTTGGTGTGGTGCTACCACATCTCTAAAGGGCTCAGTGAATTTTGCCCAGGCATTCCAAGGAAGAGCTTGGTCTGGTTACAGCTCCTTTGGTGACTTTAAATGGTTTTAATGTGCAACTGGAACCACCACCCATAAACAAGGGAGATGTCAAGAAAAAAGGTAAGTCTGCCTCTCTCAGGATATCCTGTCATATGATTTCCCTTGAAGTGTAGGAAGTTGTCCCTGTAGCAACACTCCAGTCCTGCAAGAGTTCACCTTTCATTGAAAGAAAAAAGGGCTGAAAGATCGGGGAAACATAGCTGAGAAAGCAACTAATAACCTATGGATGCATTTTTTAGCATAATCTTCATTACTATAACTTTTGCAGAACTTGAATATATGTCAAGAAATAGAGCTTTTTTGCAGGCTTTTAAAATATTTAAGAACCCGCTCCCCCCCATGTTAGAATTTTAGTTGAAATCCATTACTAGTGAAGTAAACCCAGATCTGTTCAATGGACACTGCTGCTACACTAAAAGCAGTGTCTCAAAAGCAGGACTTACACAGCTGCCATGGAAACACGAAGGGGATTTTAAAACAAAACAGCTCATGAGTTAAAAATCACATGATGCAGTGGATGATGTTTTCAATGAAGATGTTTGTTTCTGCAAGTAGCATTTCTCAAGATACAGAAGTTAGAGGGGAAGCTGGGGAACAAAAGCTGGGCACTAGTTGAGAACAGAAATGGACAAAGGAGATGTAGAAAGCTCAGGAGGACAAAGCTGAGGGCTGAGGAAGGTCACAGCAGTGGAGAAGGCAGAGAAAACAAGCCTGTGTGGAGTAAACTTTCTCCAGAACCTGAGGGAGAAGAAATGATGTAGGAGACTGCTTCTCTTTATTTTTTTTCCTGGAGTCAATCTGTTATCCAGAAATGAGTGCAGGAAGAACTGTGCAATTCAGCAATCACCTGCAACAACAGATAACAAATGGGAACAGACAGGAACAGCAGGAAGGGTGAAGAGTGAAGGCAGCAGAGCTTTGCTGTTCTGGCATTCCCTAAACACCTTCATTTGACTCTCAGATGAGATAAATTCACCCAAAATTCTTTACATTTTATACATCGGGAGAGTCCGTGACAAGAGATGTGAACACAAACTCTCTACTGCAAATGACTTCTGTCTCTGAGAAGGAAGGGAGACGGATGCTGCACATTGCAGTGGGAATGTGGGACCTAAAATACATAACAGAAAAGCCCCAAATATAATTGTATAACTGAAAAGACTCCTGGAAGGTGCCATGAGAGGAATAGATGGCCTCATGCCTTTGCCAGAGTTGGTCATTGATCTGAAAGAGGTGTTGTCTCGTACAGACTCTATAAACAACATGTAGTTCACGTGCTAGAACAGTTTTTGCCAACTTGATCTGAGTTACAGCCTTGCTTTTTCCAGAATGTTACCAGACCGCGCTAATCAAGTAAGATAGTGAGGAAAAACTCTTAACACTGTGAGAGGTCAATATTAAGAACTGGAGTTGCCCAGGAAACAAAGTAATAAAACAAAACTCAAATGCAGGCTGCACACCCCTACAAAGAGATAAAATGGAGAAGCCCACGACAGACAGCAGAAGAATTGACTGTGTTAGAGAACTATCCATTAACTCTGGAAGAAGGCAGTTCCCAATGAATCAGGATCTGATTTCCAGATGTCTTTATGACATTTTAGTGGTTAGTGCAAACAGAGAAAATGGAGAAATGATAATTAAGCAAACAAAAGCTTTAAAGAGAATCATCTTTTTTCTAACTGCTTCCTTTCATTGTTGGATCTAAAAATCTGCCAGCTTTCCCAGGCCAGCTCTGCCTGTTTTAAAAAAAAAACAACTAAATGAAATGACAAGTGAAATTAGGAATGTACAGAAGACTGCAGGGCATAAGACATTCAAGAACAATGCTTGAAAAAAAAAAGCTCTCTGTTCTGGTTTTTACCAGTTTTGAATACAGATTTCAGTTGCAGACTAAGAGACCCCAAAGAACTTGTTTTAAAGATATATGAGGAAATTTCTGGAAAAACTTGCATGTTAATACAGTATGCAGAACAGGAGAGAAACTGAAGCTGGAGCTGCAAGAGTAATAATACAAACTAAAACTTTAGTGTTTGAGTTTTTGTAAATTTTTATGGAAAAACCCAGTTTCTTTCCTTAGGAGAAAAGTGACTTGTAAGTAAAGTCAGTAAATCCTATGCCTCAGAGTAAGGTTGTTTATGGATCCTCCTGCTGCAGCAGGTAAAATACCCTGGTTTTACAAAGAGCTAGTCAGGTATATGTCAGTAGGGATA